ATTTCTGCAGCATGTAACTCTGCCATGGTTGTCTTACACAGTTCTCTTTTTCTCAGGGGATTTTTCCTCTGTTTATCTGAACTTGTTGTTGAAGCCCTTCAGGGGCCTTCACAAAGCCCTAACCCCAGACAGTTTCAGGAAGAGTGAGAGTGCCGACAACATTGAGGCAGGCATTATCACCTGCACCAGTTTCTGCCCTCACCTAATCCTTTCCTGGCAGGGGAACGAGCAGTTTCCTGCCGCCAGGTGCTCAAATCCGGGGGAAAACCTTTTGTCTATACGACTGCATGATAGGGAGAATTAAATACTGCTGAACTCGTTTTAGTTGCGGCAAAATAAATGTCAATACATCTTCTGTCTTTATGTCATAATGATATGAAAAGTTGCTTTAGTTTGGAGTTGTGCTGTACGTTTAGAACTACATCTGAAGAAAAAGCTGTTGAATATTAGACTGCCTTCTTCTTTTGCCCTGTTTTTTTTTTTTTCAAATCAAAACAAGACCACCAACATCACAATTATATAGAAACATACATTTATATATACATTTTGCTATACTTGAAAAAAGTTACCCATCTGTTGATTTAGTGGAGTCATTAAAGAATCTCTTCTTTACAAAGAAAAAACGTCCATAAACTGCAATTTACAGTTGGAGATGAAATATTTTTTTAAAAATCCATATAAACCATTTAAAGTCTTGAATAGACAGAAAGATTTTTGATATTTGAACAATTTGACAGCAGATATTGACTTAGGTATGTTTGTAACAAATAGCTAGAATTCCTTTAACTTTTGAATTAGCATTCCTTCTGTAAATTCTTGTCGTGGATACAAGTACGACGACGTATAGCTGCTTGAAGTTAGTCTATTTTGAAACATGATGTTTCCTTTTTTCATAGGGGAATAACACTTTAGCATAGCCAAGCTCTGTTTAGCTGTCAAGTGTTCACTGCTGTGCAAACTTAGCTCCTCAGGGCTGTAATGTTGTAAAGCAACAATATCAAAAGCTTCTCAAAACTCCTTTTTAAGTGCACTTATCATGCAACGCAGGAGGTAAAGCCCTACAGATTTATATATGACAAGCCTTCTGCAGCTGATATCAGTACAGTCAATCAGGTGCCTTTTTATTCCTGAAGCCAACCGTCGGCTTCAAACACATCCTGTGGCTCTGTCCATCCCGCAGAGTGGGCTCCTGTGGAGAAATGTCACCTCTTTCCACATCATTCCATCTCCCATACTTCCATCTTCTGGTTGCATTTACTCACCCTCCTGCTCCACTTTTATTTTAAACTTTCTCCACATCTATCACTTTCTTTATCTCTGTCTCCTTGCTCTTTATGTCTGTATTGATTTTGTGGCAGCGTGCGCTCCATGCTTCTTGCCCTTTTTGATAGAGGGAGTGAAATGGAGTCTCAGTCTGCCAAATGAAATCAAAGTCTTTTTTTTTCTTCCCCTCCCTCCCTCTGTTCCTTCGCTCCATTGCAACAAGCGCGAACTCCATCAGCTTTGAACTTGTGTGTGTGAAATGAGCTCTCTTTGCTCTGATTGTCATCCCATCTCTGTGCCCTTTCTCTTGTTCTTTGCTCCCCATCGCTCTTTTTTCTCCCAACTTCCAGCTTTAATTCAGTTTGATGTTATTTCTTCGTGTTACTGTCAAAAATAACTCTGTTCCAGCAGCATTTTACTTTGACTAATGTCTTATTTTCTCCTCATTTTTTTTCTTTTTTTTTGTGCATATTTAGAAATTAGTTTTCTTGCTTTTATATAGTTATATTTCAGTGTAGAAATCTGACACTGGCACATAAGTCTAACAGTGGACTTTAAAAATAATCATTTTTACAATGTGACAGGTTAAAAACAAGAAACGGTTGCTAAAAGGAAGCCAGTCTTATCCGTTTCTCCTCATCTGGGCCATGTTCACATTGACAACATCCTACAAACCATTTTGTTGTTTGTGTACTAACTTCTTTCTCTTCCTTGGAGATCTCATGGTGTTTCCAGGCATGCTAGGAGACTCCCTGACTACATAACTGAGCAGATAAATCAACAACCTTATCCTCCTTAAGGGAGATCTGGATGTTTTTTCTTTCTTGCCTTCATGTAGCAGGAAGTATTGGAAGAAGGCTGTTCTTTTAAAGTGTGGTGACCAAGAAATTTTTATTTATTTATTTATTTTCTTTTTTACATGTACCAGTTTCAAAATAAACTACAACAATGTTCTGCAACAGAAAACATTCACTAAATTTGGAAGAAATATATACATTTATGTTTTTTCCCTTACATAGTAATCTGATATGGATAACAGTGGGAAATTCCAGCAACAGAAGTTTATTTTTCCATTAGAAATAAGCAGTTTATTGATAAACTGGAGGTTTTTGTGGATGCAAAAGCTATTGGTGTGGGGATTTTTTAAAAGATATTTTGAAGCAAAAAGTGTTTAGAATATTTAATCATTCAACATTTGTATAAAAAAACATATCTTATTTCCAAACAGATCAGTGATGCATAAAAATAAGATGCCTTGCTGTGTTCTGTAGTGTCCTGCTGGTCATTAGGGTTGTGTTTATAGTATTTTTTTGGACTAAATTTGCTGCCTTTCCTCTGAGAGGGGATCTATGGTTTCAAAGTTTTTTTTTTCTTTAGAGAGCTGCAGTTTTTGATCTGCAGATATATTTATTTGAATGCTGCGTAAACATACTCCAGTATGAGGTTCTGATGATAACCTTTAACAAAAGAAAAATAAATAAATAAAATAAAAACTGTTTTAGGGTATGGTGGTATTAAAAAGCATATATTATATTTCAAAGTCAGAAAACCTAAAACCTTAAAAGTATAAAGCCTAAGTAAGTCAACCTTTCCATTGTTTTTGAAAGCAGAGAAGTAGTTATGAAACACAATTTTTGAGTAACAGCCATCAAAACAGGAAGAGCGTATAAAGATGATGGCGTTCCATCTGCAACACCAATTACTGGAAATCTCGCACAATAATGACAAAACTGATTGTTTTCTAGAAGAAGAAAAAAACAACAAAAAATACTTATTCCTGTTAAACAGGTCAATAAACATTTGGCCACTTATTGGCAACACATACTGTGGAGACAGTGCTTTTGCTCCAAAGGTAATTTTTGCAGAAAACGTGGCTGAGATTGTTGTGTCTGAGGACAAATTTCTATAAATATAAAACTGAGCAGAGAGTAAACAGCCAGACTGCAGTGTGCATTTTTGTAAGCACAAAGTTTATCAATACTGTGCAGCTTTTGTTGAAATCAAAGGAATATCCACCCATTCATTGCACTGCATTCATCTTAAATTGGGTTGTGAATGTAACGGGTCTCGGTGGAAACCCAGTGATCTTTCTTCCTGGAGACACTGGAGCAACCGCAAAGGATGCACTTGTCAGAAGGGAAATAAAAACCCTAATGTGAGTTGTGGTCTACCTGTAGTCTCTTCAAAGCAGTGAGGTGAAGACGTCAGCAACACTTGAAATACTGAGGAACCAACTTTCAATGTGTTTCACTGTGTGGGCTACATCTGGGTCATTCCTCCTCACAGTGGGACAGACTTTGAAAACCTCCAAAGGTGGGTTTACACTGTGGCAATATTATTTTTAAGACAAAATCTTTTATATATATATATATATATATATATATATATATATATATAATTGTCTGTTGTTGCTTAGTGTTGCTTAGTGTGACAGATGCGGTGACCACATCTAAAGCACTTTCCCAACCAAGGATGACCCAAGCAGTGTCAGACGTGTTCTGGAAATACTGTGCTGTGACTGATGTCACTGATTCCCAGCCACAAGTGCTGCTTCTTTCATCCTTTCCTTTTTTTTTCTTCCCCTTATCCAACTACAATAAAAAAGCGTATCAACACCTGTAACTTCTGTCCATGGACTAGACCATCGTCTGTAGCCTCTTGTTTCTTGTATTTCTTCAGTAACTCAGTCATGCAATCGGGCATGATCAGTGGAACAGTGCAAAAGGAGTTCCTGTCATATTGAGCTTGCATGGTGCGACTAGTTCAGATCCTGTGTGAGTTTGACATTTGCGTAGTTTGTGCAGGGCTTTAAGGATGATGTCTGATCAGGTGTCAGAGCCATTTCAGAATTTGATGCAGCGGAGCAGCAGTTCCACTTCAAGCCTTCTGTCCGTCTCCTCCTCCTTCTTACCGTCATTCATGAATGACACACGACGATACTTCACATCTTCGGATGGGTAGAGACTTTCCGCTGGCCTGTAGGGATCTGTCCACCCTTTTCCAATTTGGAAACAAGATGTCAGATTTGGAGAAGCTGACTCTGTCTTTACACTGAGCTGCAAAAGTCTCCAGTACGAGCCGAAGGAATGAGGAATGAGATGAAACCCTCATTTGAACAGTGGCTTTGATTCTTTTTAAAACTGTGGCATGGTTTCAAAATGGAAACTGGCAAATGCCACGACTTGTGTTTTATTGTAACATCTTTGCCATCACATTAACTCCCATAGCCAAAATAGCTAAAAGGTATTATCCAGTCTCCAAGCTACATATTCTATACTGATTGGTCCTAGTAAAACAAAACCATGCTATTTACTGTACCAGTCATTAGGTTTTATTTGACAACTGATCAGTGCATATACAAATCATAGTGGCATCTGTGCTTTTGATTTTATTAGCTGAATACTTTTTTCAGTGAACTCATTTTTTTAAGGATTTTTAGCTTGTCTGATTCAGCACATTGAGGTCTTTAGTGCTTAACAGTGAAGCACACTTTTTTTTCCTACAGTATTTGTAATAAATGTTGATATTCAGTATTATAGCGACACAGCTAAGTGCCCTCAGACTGTTAAAATATAAATCTAAAAGTCATTACCTAGTGCTGCCAGCATAACCTGCAGAACTGTCCACTAAAGCACAAAGCATTAATCATCTTTTGTACAATGATCGTATGGCCTGTAACATTGCAAGAGGATATATATTTTTAATAAAACCTCCTCTCTTTCGCTCCTCTGTCTCAGGGCGACGGCTTGCAGCTGGAGTACGAGATGAAGCTGACCAATGGCCAGTCTTTCTGGACGCAGCATTTTTCTGCAGATGAGTTCGGTGAGAATGATTAGACAGAACGAAAGGGATTATGGAATGGATCGCCAATGGCACAAGCTAACACCACTTAGCACGGCCAATAAAGCACACTGCTCTGAACAAATTGCAATAATGAAGGGACGGCTGAATGAGTTAATGATGATGGATGAACTGAGAGGGAGGGATGAAGAGAATGTGATGCCCATGTATCCTCTAAATGAATTATTCCTACATCCCCAAGGCCTTTGTCCACTCATACTCTATTTTCTCCCAAACTTACTTTATTCATTAACTCAATTTCTTCTTTTTCTTGTTTTTTTTTCCTGTTCGCTCTGTTTTTATGTGTTTAGATTTTGTGAATCTTTCCTTAACTCTTGTACTTACTTCTCTCTTGCTTATGTTTTTGCTTTTAAATTATTTTACTCCAATCACAAACTTCTTCATATATTTCTGCTAACTCATTCAACTTTTGTTCTCAGGAATTTTGGAGACTGACATCACGTTCCTGGTCATCTTCACGTTAGTGTTCCTCCTCTCTTGCTACTTTGCATGTAAGTACTACCTTTTCTACTTAGTATAATCACTCTCTCCCCTTTAGGGCAACTCACTTTGACTCCTGGAGCTCTCTGTAATCATTAAATGGACTTTGCCTTGGCTCTATTTAAAAAAAACAAAAAAACCCTGCATGTTTTCTTGATGGGAAAGAAGTAGATTCCTGTGTTCCTCCTGAAAAGTAAAGGTCAAATTAGGCAGATTCTTCTCTAAGGATTCAGCATTTATCACGATGGAGCTCATGTCTTAGAGAAACAAGAGTGACATTAGGCCGGGAATAGAGGTTCCTTTTTTTTTTGCATAAAGATGAGAAGTTAAATATTGGCGCCAACAAAGGTCTTAAGCTCTCTGAAATATGTTTTCTTTGAAAATTTAAGATGGAAAACCCTGAAGTAACTGAGAACTTGAGTAAAAATGAAAATTGTAGCTTAATAAAACAGGCACAGTCCCAGTCTATTATCAGTTCAAGTTTTCCCATGTGGTCATATTATCTTACTTTGTCTAATTTAGTGGTATCACCTAACTAAATTAGACCTAAATTACATTGTACTTTTTAGAGTCCTGTGCCTTTTCTGTTCAGAAACTAACCAGACACATCACTTTTTGTCTGCTTTAATATATTATTTAAAAATGAAGGCAACACTGAATTAGTTTGACTTGTTTTAATGAGAGTTTCAGTGACAACAAGAAAACTAGTAAATATCACAGAAAAGTCAGCAAGCACATGAATGTTTGTTTTTTTTCTTGTATTTATTGAATGTATTGCTCTATATGTGTCTTTACATTTTATTAAATTATTCTGAAATTTAGAAAAAATATAAGTCAAATCACAAAGTAGTGGGTCTTTGTAAATATGCCAAACTGTAACCCTATTTTCCATCTGCCTCCACCTAAGACATTTGATGTTAAGACAGCATACACAATGTATGGCACTAGAGTAGACACACAGCAAAGATCCACAATAAGAGTGCAGAAACAAAACATTAACGTGAAACAAACACAACTGATAAATAGTCAGTTACTCTGCTGAACAAAATTTGATGAACATATCTCAATGCCTATTTCACTTATTAATCTTAATTGTAAGGCTTCTGCCTAAAGATCTTTTGCACATGTTTAGTAAATACCCACTGGACATACGACACCTGGCTAACGAAGCTTAGCCCTTTAACAATGTGTAGATATTAGACATGTTGTACATATTAGATATTGGCAAAGCATATTTATCCTATAAGTGTATGGAGAGAATTAGATATTTTTACTCACAATTAGCTAAATGACATATAGCGAGTATTGAATTTTTTGCTGCACTCTCCTCTACAATTATTACTTTGCAGGCCAGAAGCCTTAAAGTTGGGAAAGTCCTGTTCTAGCTAAATTTACAAAGAAAAATGGTCCAAGATCACAATCCCTGTATCCTCCAGTCTTGGAAAATTTAGATGACCAAGTTCTGCTCTGTTGCCAAAAAGATGTACAAAATATTATCAGAAGGGATGCTGACAGATGTTGGAATGGTGATTTTTCTGAAATTGCCACTGTGAGATTATGGACTATGGCGCTTCCATGAGTGTCAATAAATGTGCAGGGTTTAGCAAATAAAATAGCTTAAGAAATAGGTCTAAAGGCCATATGTTGATATAGTCAGTACAAGCTTTTATTTTTAGGTGACATTCTTCCTTATAGCACTTGACAGATCGAGTCTAGGAGCACAGAGCAGCTATTAGCTGTTGTTTGCAATCCTCCCTCGCCTGATACATTTCCCCCGCTGGCTACCGCATTGTTTTGGTAGTAAAATAGGCTGCTTAAATATGCATTAAGAATATTTCCTCTCAGATTAGGTAGCGGAAACCGAGATGAGATGTATCAGGGCTCATCTGGAGATGGGCATCACAAGATGGATGCATACTAATCATTGCTCTCCCTATTTATCTGGCCCGTTCCCTTGTTCGTCTGCGATCTCCTGTTTTCTCCCTCTCTCCGCACCTCCCTCACTCTCCTTGGCCATCTGTTAGCATCTCTCAGTCCTTTTTATCTGTCGCCCTGACGCACACACATGTACCCACACCTCTATCACCTTATTTCTGTTTTTTCTTTTTCTCCCTCCAGACAATCTGAAGGGGAGACAGCTTCTTCACACAACCTACAAAATGTTTATGATGGCAGCAGGTGTGGAGGGTAAGAGCTTCTGTCCTAAACAGGCACACACCTACATCATCAAGACGCACACACGTGCACGCTCCGGGGATAACAATGAGCCTCATTCACTGTTGCTGTATCTCGTATCTTAATCCGCACTTGAAGAGCAGATATTATCACACTGATTAGTTCTGAATAGGAACTATTGCAAGCAGATGTGCAGGACTACATTGTTCAATGAAGCTCGTTACTGATGAACCCCAATGCTCTCTTCATGCTGTCCTCTCCACTTCTTTTCAACTCCCTATCACTCTCTTATCTCTGTCGCTTTCTTGTCCCCAAAACCTTTCTCTTCTCGTCTGCCTCCCATGAATTCACCTCATCGTCTCCTCCTCCCAACTCTCCCTACTTCTTTCTTCCTTTCTGTTGCTCCATTTTTATTCCCTTCTCTCTACTTTAATCCCACGTTTCCCTTGCCTTCGTCTCCCTTTCTTCACCGCCTGCTAACCTATCCCTCCTGTCTCTTATATTCCTCATTTCTTTCTCCACCCTCCATCTTTTTCCACATGGCAGTGCTCAGCCTAATGTTCCATTGCGTCTACTGGGGCCTGTATGCCAGGGATGGAGTTGGCAACGGCAGCCTGAAGATACTCGGTGAGTTTCTCCCTCTGGATCGGTCACTGGCTGAATGACTGAACCAGAGTCCGGCTGGAAGATCAGTCACTGTCAGAGCAGAGCGGTTGAGTGGACCATGATGGATGCATGTATGTTTGAAGAGACCTTGTAGATGGTTGGATGGGTGTAGGCAGGACAATATACGACTTAAAGCGACTGTGTGTGTGTGTCTGCAATACGTGTATTATGACCTGATTTTATTGTTCCCCTCTGATGTCACAGATTCGAAAACTACAACCTAATTACCTCCTCTGTCTTCTCTCTCTCTCGCTCTCCACCTCTGTGTCTGTCTCCAGGGAAATTACTGTTCTCCGTCAGTTTCTTGGTGTTCCTTCTGATGCTCATACTGTTGGGTAAAGGTTTCACCGTCACCAGGTGGGAGAGAGGGAACATTGTCCTTTTTCTACACTTTTAGGTGTGAACACATTAGGGGTGTAACATTGCATCCAGCCCATGAAATGAGACGGTACATGATATGGACTTCAACGGAAAACGAGACCTTAGGCAATATTTTTGGGGAAACTGAAAATCTCAGTTTCTTAATTTTTTATGATTAAAAGAATCTGATTATCGAAAATTTGGCCACATGAACAAAAAGTGTCAGAGGCTTCTGTAGAGCTTGTATAATGAAGTGTTGTTGGCAGGGACAGTAAGAAGTCTTACACTGCAGACCTTGTCAACACGACATAATATCTTAATAACTACTTCATAAACGATTGGACTAAAATTTGCCATCACACCTTTCCTGTGATTTATGTCCCATTGGTAAAATGAGAAAATCCTTGAATGACCTGAGTTTCCTCCCGTCGTATGGAGCATAGAGTAGCACTGCACTCTTCCTCCTCTAGCTATTGCTGCACAATGCTGGTCAGCTGGCTGAACGAAGACTGCTAGACTTCTCTCTTACTTTGAAAAAAAAAAAAAAGCTAATTTGGCTGTTATGAAGTATTTCTGATCAACAAAAACTGCAAAAACATCAGCAGCTCAACTTTTGACTCCTGCTAATGCTGTTTCCAAAGAAAAATAGCAAGTTACAAACAGAACATTCATTAAATGGCCAAGATTTTCGCTCAAGCCTATTTTATATTAAAACAGACAAATACAAGTTTTTTTGTTGTTGTCTTTTTTATAAATATGGTGGCATTTTCCCCATAGGTTAGACACTAACGTATGTCCTGGATAGATGACAGTAGCTTATAGTTACTTTGACAGATGAATACAGGTTGAAAGCGGATATAGCTTCAAAACACAAGGGTGATTTTAATAAGAAAAAATGTAGAATTTTAATAATGCGAGATGTCACTGTGCAAGCAGACGTTACACCACTAGTGTATGCATGTATTTAGTCTTTTCTTCTGCATGTCTGCTACATTCTGTGTCTCTTCTAGCTGAGTCACTGTCCCTCATTGTCACAACCACCAACTCTGTCTCACAACATGATAATGCCATGTGTCAGTCAGATTATGTGTTGTGAAGCTGAACTCATAGTGTGACTGCATAACAGTTTTGTCCTCAGGATATAAAATATTAGCACTGAAATGTTGGGCAGTTGAGTTGTTTTCAAGTAATTTGAGTCAAATTGTTTCCAGTGGTGGTTTGTTGTTTTTTTTGTTTTTTTTCCCTCCTCCTCTGGCGAGGATTAGTGGACATTTTCTTGTGACTTACAGCTCGACTGCACAATAGATTATTTATGAGTGCCTTTTCTCACTGGAACATCAGCATTTATCCATCTTACACCTGACTGGAAAAGTGCCTTCCTGGCTCAGCTGTCACTGGTGCTGCCAGTTTTCTAAATTCATTTTTTTTCAAATTCCAATTTTCAGGCTGGAAAGACATAGAGTGACAGCTCCCGCTCTCATTAGTTTGTGATGCAATGCTATGTTAGACAACTGGATAAATGGCTTTTTGTTTTGATCACTGTTCAAATTTTGTGGATTTTTCTTGCTTTGCTATCTTTTCCTGAGAAGATTCAAACAGAGCAAACCACGAGCTTACTTATGGTTTGCTGAATTTTTTCAGCATAATGTACAGCATTTCCTTCTGACAATTCAGTATTATCAGTAATTCAGCAACAGGATTCTACTCCAGGAACTGGCTTGTTGCTGTTTGTTGCGATATGTTCCTGCTACCGTATCCTCTACCTGCTCCTTTATCATGTAAAACAAGAATAAAGGAAGTTGAAGAAGGTTGGTGGAAACATAAAGATTTCAGTAGTTTCCTAAAACTATTTTCAATTACCATTATGAATCTTCCTGTATGGCCTGTCTTTTGCTGAAGTTGGATGGCCATGGTGTTAAAAGCAATGGACTAAACTACCAGAGCCAAGTAGACAAAGTTATTAAGTTAATTACTTAATAACTTATATTTAACTTTCTTAAAAGTTTACGTTGGGTACTATGTTAATAATTTACATAATGTAGGGCCGGGTTAGGTTTTAAGCCGGTCTTAAATCCACCTTCCTAAAAACTTGTAGAAATCCTGTTTTTGACTAAAGTATTCAATGATGAAGTCTGAAAAAAGCTGTTTTGAATTTAATGCTTAGAACTAGCATTTGCTCTCTATGTCAAACATATAAACATGATTTCCACTTTTTGCTCTGCTTATGAGCTACCTTCAACTCATAAACAGAGATCGGCCGTGTTCAGTTTCTATTCATGCATTAAGCTAGCTGCTACAGCGTCACCGATCAGATGCATAATGCGTGTGTGCACCTGCATCTGTCCCTTTCATCTGTGCGTCTCTTAGTGCGTCTGAGTGTGTTTGATTTTTATCTTCCTTCAAATGTGTGTCTGACCTCTGACCTGCCTGGTTTGTTTCTGTGTGGCAGGGCGAGGATCAGCCACAGTGGCTCTGTTAAGCTGAGCATCTACATGACAGTCTACACAATCACCTATGTTATCCTCTTCATCTATGAGGCAGAGGTGCAGTATACACATTACACTCTCTACACACACATTCAGTTCTACACGAAGCAGCAAGGCCATACGTTTGTCCTTACTCGGATAAATCGGTGATTAAACTTTAGTTGCTCCGCTCATCGCTGCTGGTCTGAACTTTTGGCATCTGTAACTGTGGGAGTAGAATGCTATCTTCAAAAACACAGCCACAAAGATTCGTAACAACTTGCATTGAAATAAAAATTAAACACATTAATAATTGAACATGTTCCTGCATAACTGGGGCGATTGTTTCTGGTTTCTGTTCCAATGTGGCAAAAACAAGGAAGCCGCCAGAGTGAATCAGAAATGCTAATCTCCACAAACATAAGAATTTCAAAGCTGCAAGGGAAGCACCAGAGAACATCCCCCAGAGAGCACGGTTTCTACGGTTCCTAGGTTTCACAGACACAATTTAATTAAATTCACTTCATTAATTTAACTCCAATTGAAATCAAAGGTCATGTCAGGCTATTTTATAGAGTAGAATAAACGGGTTAATTAAAGTTAAATTAAATATAAACTCGTTCCTCACACAATGCTTAAAGCAAGTGTCTCTGATCTAAAGGTGTTCAGAAAAACTGATTTCAGTCGATGACTTGCTTAAAAAAACAGGATTAAACAGTTGCCAAGGGAAAGGCTTATAAGAATATTACTGCAGGAAAAATAAAAAATAAAAATAAACTCACAACTCAAAACTAATGTTTCAGATGAACAACATTTTTTCTGATTTATTCTTCTATTGATGCAGAAAACTCCTGGACATTGTATCAGAAATGAAGCTCTTCAGTTTCTTTATGCTCAATAAAAGGAAACCTCAAAGGAAAAACTGTGTTTATGTGGCAAAATAATATAAAAGGGTTTAAAGCTGCTGTGTGCCTACTTTGCTTATTGGTTCTGCAAGCAGAGAATATCAAGACAGTAAAAATAGTAATAAAAACAAATTACACAATAAGAAATTCTTGCCGTTGTAGATGGTCGTAAAGAACTGTTTGCACACTCAAAAAACATCCAGCTAGAAAACTGCAGGGATAGATAATCTGTTATAGCAAAAACAAAAAGATAAAACCTGTTGAATGCAAAGATTTGTTGAAACTATCAAAAGACCTTATATTTAAAGACAGATAGATATATTTGTGTGTGTAGTTCTCAAAAATCATAGTACACTGTGAATTTTTCTCCATTTGCCCCAATGTGCACAAAATGTGTCAAAGGAGCTCATCAGAACAATTTACAGAGCCACCGTATACGTAGCTGGTTTTAATATTTCACAAAGTGTGCCTCATTTCTTAATATTTAGATTCCCATAAAACTCATTTTTAGATACAGCAACAAACATGGCAAGATGTGAAACTATGTTGCATCAACTGCAGTCTGACAGCTACTAATTAGTTACTTCTGCTTATTACACCATTAAAGAGCTGTTTAATGTTACAGCATCCAATAAATCTGTCAGCCAGATAAAAAGTAAGGATGCAGAGACCTTGACCCAATTAAATATTCATCAACAAATGACAAAAAAACAGCAGGGCTGATTTGTTAATTGGCTCTTAGTTTGTTCACAGACTTAATTAGGATGATAATCATGGTGTTTGTTGACCTACTAAACATCTTCTGGTGGTGACATTGAGCTTGTTGACATTTAGATCTGCATCTCTTTAGTCTCACTCCGTTGCAAGGAGTTGAACTCTGACTTTTTCGCACTTCACTTAGGCTTTTTTTTTTTTTTTTTTTGAATTAATGATGCGTAATTGCAAGTCCACACAACTGAGAAACTCCATACTGTTTAGTAAGAGGAACCTTTTAAAAATGAATTCTTGAAGTTAATTTTTTTTGACCAGTTCTTCAATGGTCAATACTTTATGGTTTGCAACAGTCAGACATAGAATAGACAGATTCAGTCAATAGATATTAACTATTCAACAGAAGAATTAAAAGAGCACAGTCCCACCACTGGCTTTCCCAATATATGTGAATCAGCCAAATAAATCGTAAATATTTGGATGTCTGAGATTTATATTTGTTCCTCTTCTCCACAAAGTATCACTGAAGCTGACTTAATAGTTTCTTAGTTTAGTATTTATTAAGGGATTTACGTAATTATGTGGAAATACTTGTTGGTGAAGCCCCCAGATGGAACAGATTGTAAAGTTATTTCTATTCTATTCTACTGTAACTTCCTTTCTAACAAACACACAGGCAGAAACTGGTGCATTTAGTGCGAGTTTCCTGGCCACGGACGGCTCAGCAAACCATGTCCACATATGTTAAAGCTCTATTTAGCTTTTTTTTCTCTCAATAATCTCATAAATATTCATGAAAGAATGTGCCCTGCAGATGAGCGTGGGCTGTAATGGCTTTTTCTGTCAGAAACTCATTACATTGACATTTTACTAATTATACAAATGCATCAACTTGACTGCAAAAACATATAAAAATTAGTTTTGGTTCAAGATTTTAAATTCCGAGAAGAAGAATAAGCATGCTTCCTACGTAAAGAATACAACAATTCTTATTAAAAGTGAACTTTTTTATGCACTGTGTATTCTATGTTATATTTGCTTTCAGTGGTAAATACCAGATTAGTGATCTTTACGTATTTCCTTGAAAGTTGGATTTTTCTAATCAGCATACTGAGAAACTTTAATCTTCGTAACCCCCCCCCCACCCCCCCAGCCTCCCCCTGTTTTTTCTGTCTTCTAGAAAGGGGATAACACATTTAACCAGCACATGATCTTATGAATTAATAATTCACAGAGGAGCGAAAAGTAGTACATAAATCTTTGCTCAGTGAGAAGGCTTCTGCACAGTCAGATGTAACGCTGCCCCATTTAGAGACGGTGGATTACAGCCTTTGAATTCAGGGTGGTAATGACCCCAGAGGAGAAGAAGGCTGCAGAAGTATCTGCGCTATTTCTGATATTGAAGCATGCAGCCATCTCTTCCAATACGTGGTTCTGAAGTGGTATGATTTATCAGCCGCCTGCCCTTTTGCACAGGCCCTGCTATTTAAGAGCTTCAAACTCTGGGGAGCTCTGTCTAAAATAAGCGAAACTAGGTTGGAGGAGGAACGGAAATTAAGACTTGAAATTTGGACCCGATACTGTGTGACTGCAGTTTGAAGTCTGCCAGGCTCTGGTTGGCTGAGTGCATCCCGAACATCTCCACGCCGAACCCTTAGCACTATGCATTATGTAGCAGCAAGAGTAACTGTGTAAAGTCAGAGCCTGTATCCAGTCACTGGATTGTGAAATACAATCCATTGTCTGCACATGCAAACACACATCACACACACACACACCCAGACAGAGCTTTGAGCACACATGCTGATGCCCTAGATGTGGAGAAGTGTCAATGTCAAACCTTCGCACAGACTGGAACTAGCTGCTCTTGGCTCGGTCACCGCGGCAGATTAGCTAACCCATGAGCAATCCATCATTACGAAATAGGACACAGTCTGCACATTTTCTCTGTATTAAGGTTCTGCTTGTTTTTAACGCGTCTCGTGTTCCTGTGCCAGTTCTTTGACCCAGGTGAGGTGCTTTACGCCTACGACAGCCCCGCAGGCTACGGCCTGATGGGCCTGCAGCTGGTCGCTTACGTGTGGTTCTGCTACGCCGTGCTGGTCTCGCTGAAACACTACCCTGAAAAACAGCCCTTCTACGTCCCGTTCTTCACCACATACACTCTATGGTGAGACACCATCTCCACTTGTCGCTGGCTATTGCACCATGTGAGCTGATGGGGCTTGTACATTTCTCTGTGATCTTTAAATTTTAATTATGTAGCTCAGTCAAAACAAAAATTAAAGCAGATAGCTGGCGCTTGAGGTGGGGAAGTCCCAACTTTGTGCTCGTCTTATGTTGCAGATAATTATTCCCAGATGAGAGATAGCTGGAGGATATCTATATTAATGAGCTGTTCAGACTTCATGTGTAAGAATAATTATGCAATGCCTGTGAAAAAATAATAATGTTTCTTGGACTTGTTTCACATTTTGTCCCATTACAACTATAAAAGTTGATGCACTTTAATAAAATGTTGCTCTCCCAAACAAGCAATTTAAACAGTTTTTGTTACAAAAAAAAAATTATTAATGCATAAATATGATAGTTTGTTTAAATTATCTCAAACTCCCAGTTTATTTCCATAAATATTTGATGGAATGTTTTTAGGAAAATTCACCATCTTTACTTCCTATGAAAAGTTTCCAGAAATTCAACACAAATCTTCCTCAACTTTCCAACTCCTTACATTTCTTACACAGTTGAAACCAGATGTTTACATAAACTGAATAAAACGACACATACATCATCCTTTCTTAGTTAGAATTAACAAAAAGAATCTGTTAAATGTCACAATAATGAGAGACAATATGTCATATGAAATCATATAAAATACCATAAAACTCATTGTTGTTTTTGGTTGTAATATAAAATACAGAGGCACGGACATTAGCAAGAAACCATATGTGATAGATAGTTCACATCTTATAAAAAAAATTCAAAAATGTTAAAGATGGTTGGTTTAGTTTCTCGGCTTTTCAACCAGTGCTTCTAATAGTAGAGGCTTAAAATGAAGCATAGATTACAAAGACTAATATTATCTCTCTCTCACTGCAGCAACTATCCCCTGCCTCATTATCCACTTCTCTCCTTCCATCATTATCACTCTGAGCACTTTACATATTTTACTCCCTGAGCTCTCTGTCTCTCACCGTCAAACCATACTCTCATCAGTTACTTTAATGTTCTCCCTCCTCTCTCTTATCTCTTCTTCTTTTCCTTTTTTTTTCTTCCTCAGGTTTTTCGCTGTGCCTGTGATGGCTCTGATCGCCAACTTCGGGATTCCTCGATGGGCTCGGGAGAAGATTGTGAACGGCATTCAGCTCGGCATCCACCTCTACGCTCACTTTGTTTTCCTTGTTCGTACCACACGCACGTGCTCACGCGGACCCCGGCACCTTTTTGTAGAGCCGGCATTATTCAGGAGTCATTATTGCCACAGTCTGTCATACATAATTGACAATCCATGAGTTCTTACTGCGTAGCTCGGGAACGTCTCCTCCACACATCATTATCCATCTCTTCGTAACCTTAAACGCACAGTTCTTCAACTAATGGGCTGTACCGTTCTGTCAAATATCTTCGGTCCTCACCACACACCTCCCATGTCTTTGTCTTTACCTAGAGCTTATAGGTTACAGACATATTCCTCAAGCTATCTTGAATAAACATTGAAGAATATTTATATTTCTTCATGAATTTATTCTTTTTGTTTAGGTCATTACGAGACCATCAGCAGCCAACAAGAACTTCCCGTATCATGTTCGGACCTCCCAGATTGGGATCTTGCAGTCCAGCCCCAAAGGAGGCGAGGGAGGGGAAAGTTTCCCCCACCACGCCTATGGGAACAGCTCCTTCCTCGGAGATTCTCAGCCCAACTTCACCGAGCTCTTCTCCATCCAATCAGTAAGTCTAAATGTGATGTGTGTTCCTGGATGCATTTGAGCGGTTGATATGCAGTCCAGAACATCTCATTTGAGAACTAATGAAACAAAAGGAAGAAGCAGAAACCGCAACGAGATACATATTACGCCGCATGTACTGACTATATAATATCCACTATAAATTCCCCATTATTTTGCAGCGCTTGCTACATTTAATTAGATAAGGACTCTAGTGTACTCATTTTCTGATGCTTTTTGTGTGTCAAACGTAGCTTGAAATTAACTGCTGTCTTATCGAACAGAAGTGCCTGAAAATAGAAAGCGATTGTGGCAGCAGCGCAGTTTGCGAGGGAGCGTGTTTTCAGGGATTATTTCTCAGCAAAATACTTATCTCCTCCAGGGGATGACGCATTGCATAACAATACGCCTGACACTAAAACTCTTGAGTGAAATTAAATATAAGTGTGAGCAGAAATTCATGGCAAGGCTTAATTAAGTTGTTGTGTTTTCTCTGATGAATTGTCTTGCTTCGGTTACTTTCAGCTCTGAAGGTGTTGCTTTTTACACTACATAGAGATAAGTGACAGGAAAAGAGCTGTAATTCTCAGCTACAGCATTCCTCCTTTAATAATGTAGCAACAAACAGGCATCTAATTTTTTTTTTTTCTTAAAACAATACAAAAATTGTGGGGGGAAAGAGGATACATAAGGACGTACCGGACCTTTGCCCCGTTTTCTTAAATTATAACCACCAGTTTTGATGTTCATCTCCATAATGTGTTTGATACGTGACATAATATATTTGCTTCATTACCACATTAGTAATTTTACAAAGTCTAAGCAGAACAAAATTCACCATGTGGTGTATTAGCGACCTGGTTTAGTGCAATTTAAAAAGTCTGAAAATATTTCTAATCTGCTTTTATCTGATAAAGTAAAGAAATCTAAATTTCAGTGTGGGGAAATTTGGGAATCTATTTGTTATTGTGAAATCTACAACCTGTATCTAAAAGATTTAACTGATTGATAGAAGACATAAAGTCCAACTTTGTAAACAAAGATAATTGTAATTTGGTTTTTACAGTGTGTGATGTCCCTTTTTGTTGTTGTACTCCTAAATAAACTTCAGTGAAAGCTATGATTCCTAGAAGTCACATAATTACTAAATAGGGTCCACCGGTGTGTAATTTAATCTCTATGTATCTGACTATTCTGTAAAGGCTGCAGAGGTTTGTTAGACCACATTAGTAACAAACATTATAAATACAGAGGAACCAAAATGTCTTTAGACTAATTTGACCTAAAACTGTTTGTGGCAAGACTCAAAAATTAGTCTTTACAGACTTTGTAAAAAAAAAAAAAGTGAAATCTGTTGATCCAGATGAAGAATACAATTCCAGTTAATTATGTTGCCAGATTTTTTTAAATTAGAGTTTGTAATGTTTCAGAGTAAATACCAGCTTATCATGAGATTCAGTTTCATGGATGAGCACTCATGAGGTACTTTGAGTTAACAGATTCAGGGCAATTATGGGCTGAACGTGATTATCCATATGCAGGTTTCCTGCTGTTTATAACCAAATCTTTATTTTATCCCAGTCAAACATTCTCAGAGGTAAATTAGCATGCTTTTCGATTTGTCAGAAGATCTTAGCGCTGAGTGTGTTGAAAGTCCAGGGTTGCTTTGTTCCCCCTAGCATATCTTTTTGTATGAATTGTTGTCATTATCATATAAATGATGCCTCAAAACTTTTAAATTCCAGGATCCGGTGAAGACCGTGGAAGAGACAGTTGCTCGCAAAGGACCCGACGTGCCGAGGAACAGCGAACAAAAGATCATTACCACCGCTGCAGACTTAACCATGATATTGCCCCCACCTCCACCTCCGATACCCCCACGCCCCGCCTCCCGCTCTCCCCCGATGCCCCCTCGACTTCCATCCTTCACAGAGTACTTCAGCATGCAGAGCGGCGGTGGAGGAGGCTTTGGGACGAAGGCATGAAGTGGATGAGAAAGCGGGAAAGACTGTGGCAGAAAGGACGAAGGCTACAGACAGAATTTATAAAGCTGGTGGGAGAGAAAAAGGTCATCCTAAATAACAGAAGAATTATAGATGAAGGGACATACATGAGAAGTCATCACAAAAGTAAATCCCTAAATGGTCCTTTTAACTTGGAAATGGAAATGACCTGTATGGAGAAGCTAGGGTGGGGAGATGGCTAAGACGCAAAGGCTGAGGTTGTAAAAGAATAAAGAAGCAATAAATATTTGATGTTGACCAGTTGAAGGCACACGGGAGAAAGATGACAAAGTGGATGTAGCCGGAGCAAGAGAATGATAGCTGTGCACAATGTGGAAATGAACAAAATTCTTGAAATACTTTTATTCAAAAATTCATGAGGATTTGATGGTGTGCCTGGAGGAGTTTGTAAATAGCTAAAACTGTTGAGAGCAACAATTATGTATAGTTTTATTTCACAATACGAGATTATTTCATGTTTTCTTTCCCCTAAACATGACATTCCAGTTGGTGCTTCGACCACAGAGAAATCCCATGCCGTTATGTTTAAAATAAAATAAAATATAAAAAAAAAAACTTTTTTATGTTTTAAGACATTTTTGATAAAACTTAGATATATTTATGGTATATGGAGTCTGTTGTGTTTATTTATATTCTTACTATATAAGCCTTCATTGGAGCTGGTTTTTCTGGATCAATATACTGATGTGTAACTGTAAATTGTCACATTTAGTCTGGGCTCCCCAAAGTACAGTACTCGTAAAACATGCATGTTTGTGTTGTATTTTCCGTCCGAGAAGCAGATATATGTCCTCCATGTGACCTTAGATATTCGCTTATTGTGTGTGTTGAAATCCACACTTCTGTAAATGCATACAATAGGCTGCAATATGTTTTTTTTATTGTTTTTTTTACTGCAAAACCTTTGTTAATTACTATACAAATCAAAGCTGTCTTGCAGTATTTTTAACCTATAAGTAGACGTAGGCATGGGCTGGTATGATATTCTGAATTCTGGTAACTTTAAGATAAAAAAAACCACAGTTTCACAACATATTTTGAAATGTTTAAACTTAATATTTAACATTAGAGAGCCCACAGTCAGAGATTCATGGATCATTTCTAGTTTTGTAAACATCCAACATGCCGTTAATAATTTTTAGCATATTCCAAATTATCTGAATAATTGCAACAGTATGAAAAATGTACTTGTTTTTGCAATTTTGCCATGATAATGTATGTAAAGTAAGGAGGTAATGTCACAATGTGCATGTGTGCGTGTGTGTGTGTGTATGAGAGAGAAAGAGAATATGCTGTAGAAAAGGGTTTCTCTGTTTATTTTAAAACTAAAACATTATTTGTTTAAAATGATATTTTGAGAGATCTTTAGCCACTTTTATTAATATTTAGCACGGTTAGGATTAGTAACCATTAATAACTGGAAACACTGATCGTACTCTCCAGTTTGTATCTTTGCAATTTCACACTTACATCCATCTACCTAACAATTGCATCCTTTTCTTTAGGTTGTTAAATAACTTTGTAGCTTTGATCGTTTGTGGAGATCAATGGTTATGAAACCGATGTGAAATATCAGTTCCTAAACTTCCTTACCAAAGAGTGTTGTTACACCACTGAGCGGCAAAGGATAATTTTTTCTCAGTTCCTACAGGCTGTTCAATAGTCTGAGCCGGTTGAGCTGAACATCATCCGTGTCTGCTCATCAGCCGACTTGTCTGCTCATATCTATTTAAAACATTTTCCAATTGTTTTCGTTTTAAAAACTGATCTAAAACTGCTGATGCTAGAAACCCTAACACACTACTTCTCATAGCTCTGACAGCATATTTCTTTTAAAATTACCTTGTGCACGTAAAGAGGCTGAACAGTTTATCAATAACATTGACAATGTGAAGTGTTATTTATAAGTGACCATTTAACCTTGTTAAACTCTTGAACAAATTGACGTAAGTTAGTTACAGTATAAAGTAAAGTTCTGTTTTCTAGCACATCCTTTCTTCAGTTTGTCAATTAGAGCAGCTGAAATATACATAATGGTTTTGATGATGGTACTTTTCATAATGATAATAATAATAATAAAGCCAAATACCTGCCCATGCCTAGTAAAATATTATTTATACTGGGCTGTTTTTAGTTGGTTTCACTGGAGTGCAGAATATACCTGATTTTAACCGTCATGTCTGTGTTTGTGGATGTTGGTGAATATGCTGATGCAATACAGCACAAGGGCGGGGGTGATGCTGAAGTTAGTCGCAAGTCACAATTTCAACTTTTATTCGGTTAATTCTTCTTGTAAAGATTTCCATCAAAATGGGAATTCTGTGATTTTAAAACCAGCAATGCCTTTGCATGTTTTGGTAATTGGATTTTCAAAAAAAAATATATCAGGAATGACTAACATTGAGTGATTTGATTTTAACATTGAGACAGCGTATTAAACTGAAACACAAGCCGTTTTTCTGTTTTAAGAAGTGGTTGAGCAGAGATGCAACTTTAATTTTATATGATTCATATTTAAATCCTAAGATATTCACAACTGACCAGTTTACTTTGCATTAGTCAACCAACCAACCGTGATGGTTGTATTGGAGGCTCTGGTTCCTCTGTTCTCTTCAAACATATCTTATGTATATATTTTTACTATTTGCACAAGAATACGTCAAATCTTTAATTTGTGACATAATATCTTCTGCTTTTCTTTACTGATTATTTAAATTATTTTAACCTAGAGAAGGACATTTAAATGCCTGCTCATCTGGTTTTAACTACAAAACAATTGAAGGTTGTATTTCACTTTTATATGTTTTATTTTAAAACTACAATCAAATAACCTCCTGTTTTTTGTTGCTGTTGTTTTCAATTCTTGGTTTCACTCCCAATTACCAAAACAAGCGTAAACCCAACAGGCTGTTTCTCTCTTCAGTGTTTTAAAGAAGGAACTTTATTCTCACCCCTGTCTTGTATCTGAACCACAAATCATTACATTTGTTGGCTTTTTACACCTTAATGTTTAAGCTGTGCAAAAAGCTGAACAAATATTCATATTTTTCTTTTATGCCCTTATATTGGGAGAAAAAAAAAAGTCTTGTAGAAGAAGCTGTGAAAGCAGCAGCATAACTGTACATTTTGTCTGTCCTGCATGGAGCACTTTAATGTTCCTGGTCTTGGTCTGTTTATTTGTGCGGATCCATCTTATAGGACTGCTTTAAAAAAAACCGTATTCTCACTCCATGGAGAATTATTCCTACCTGTAAATACGGACTGAAAACGGTTTTTCAGACATTTTCGGGAATAATTCGTGCTTTGTTCGAAACAATTTCGGTGGTTTTATCTTGAACTAGAGAAACTGTTGTGCTCAGCTTCGAGCCATCAGATTTCAGTGGCAAACTTGTTGTCATGGAGTACCAATGTTAGGACTGTGGTGTGTAACCTGTAGGAGTGTTTCCAGAAGTGTAACTTTGTGAAACTGACAGATACTTGAATTAGAATACTAATCGTTGCTTCTGAATATGTCTGGTTTGTATTTGGGATGTCTGCCACTTCGTCTGCTGTTGCCATGACTTGACTGAACAGACGCAGAGAGACGGGGAGAGGCGCACCGATATCGGAAACGTTGCTTAAGCGTCGTCAATGCTCACATTTGATTTGTCATAAAGTGTTGTGGAGAAAGAACTTGAAGAAAAGATGTATGTGTGCATGACGGAGAACAGCACAGCTTATAGGCTGCTCAGAGCGACCTGGTTAAGAGCACATCACAAAAGCACCATTCAGATGCATTTTAATGGTGTCAAATAATATTAATTATAAAGATGCTGTACATATATCCTTTTTCTCAAAATAACTAATTAAAATATGGTTTTATTTAAAGCGTTGTCTGGCTGTTTTATTTGCGTGCCGTGTTGATTTGTGAGCCTGTGACGTTCCAGTGAGGAGCCGGGGCAGGAGTCCAAACACTAAATCTGATATTTGTTTATCGAGTTTGGGATTTGTTCTCATTATGAGGGTCTATTAAAGTAAAACGCTCTGGGGACGGTTTCCAGCCCGGTCCTGATCCGAAGCGTGCAGACCTAAATGTTTTGCAGTCATTACCGATAAGTTGGTCTAATTGAACTGTCCAAAGCTATTACTGAGCTTTCAGTGAATGTTTTGCGATTAAATCTTTTTCTTTCTGTTGTGATTCAGTCTAGATTCATATTTTAAAAACTTCCATTAACCTCTTCTTTTTCCGTTTGTAGGGAAAGTTTTTGTCATCATTTTAAGAGGTAAATAAACCTTTTTTCTCTGCACACGCTAATAAGTGCTAATTGAAGTGCAGATAATCAAAGTTGCCTCTTAATAAATTACAGTCTCATTGAAAGATTAAGATGTGTAGCTTATTGATCCTTTGCTGAAATGTTTTGGTTTTATGTCAGATAATAATGTGACGCACATCAGCAAATAGAATATTTTCTGAAAGGTCTTGAGAACTATCAAGATGTTCTTTTTGATATTGACCTGATATGGTCCTTTGTGTTTATTTTTAACTCTTTCATAGTTTGGATTTGTGCTAAATCTTTTTTGTCCTTCTTCAATCGGGAACATTGACCTTAACTGAGGTAAATCAGACCTGCAGATCTGAAATACAACACACAAAAAAAGCATGTACAACATGAGCCTTTAGGAACCGAACGCTACTGCAGATTTACTGATACAAAATTATTTTTGACATTCACTAACGGCAGGAGTTAAGATTTCAGGAGCGACTAAAAATAATGTCAGGTGAAGCAAGTAAGAAAAAGCTAGATGTGTCTTAATGCATAAACTTCAAGCTTTTAAGACTGAGAGCATTTATTGCATCACTCAACTATTTTCGTAAATTTATTTTACTCACTGGGAAATTTGAATTTTGCGTGACGGTTTTGTGGTTTCACTCGTGTTCAACCTTTATGAAGGGAGCAGAACTTGTTGTCCACTGCCCACATTTCCTGTTTTACAACTCATTAGCAGAATCCTCTGTTTAACTGTTCAAAGCTCATCAGATTGTTTTGTGCATCATTGTGATTTAAAGAGGTTCAGACACATTTTATTAGAAATCAATAACCTTTTCATGCAACAGTTTACAGCAGGCGGTTTCATTGATTTTTTTTTCTGGCTCAGATTTAACAGTGCCTGTGCAGCAGCAGTTTTCATCTTCTTTAGAAGATCCATGACCAGAACCTGCATTAATTTAAACTCAAACACTGAAGACATAAGACAAACTTGGAACTTTAGTTTGGAAAATTAAACTTTATTATCACACATTCAGATTTATTATTTTACAGATCAGTTCTTGTTTTCAGATCACATTGGAGCTTTAAAACTGGTCATGTTGAAGACTTGCATTAAGGCTCTTTTTGCAACATGAAAAAACAAAAACCATGGGAGTATTTAGGCTTCAGCAGCCAACACTCTTGCCCTCGCCCTCTCCTCTCTGTAGCCTTTGAGGAGCTGGTTGATGAGAGTCAGTTCATTCTCCTTCTTCACAGGATAAAGAGGTGGAAACGGGTTGCCTTTGTACTCCAACACGGCCATCTGGGCTCTGTCCAGGTTCTCTCTGTTGGGGATCCGGGCCATCCGCGTGTAGCCGGTTGAATGGTTTTCAAAACGCGGAGCGAGGACTTTAAAGAGCTTCGGGACGAGATCCTTTTCCTGGAGAGAGGGAGCGGGAGGGAAACTTCAAACAAACTGCTCTCCATTACGCAGCTTTTACCTCCACAAGCATGAAGAGAGCTGCAAACACGCACCGTGAGCCAAAAGCTGGCCATTTTCATCGCCTTCTCATCTGTGTCTCCTTTCTTGGCATAGTCGATCAGCTGGGAAGATGAAACAAAAAAAATATCCACAGTCAGAGAGACTTAACGTGCAAGGAGAATTCAGATTGTGCTGCATGATTACATTTACAAACAGGTAGCAGAGTTTCTACACGAGGTTCAACCAGACTTCAGGAGAATCTGCAGGATTACTAGAAAGCTTTACTAAAGCCCAACGGCAGGCTTAAACACACGGAGAAAACCCGGGACAGACGAGGCTTAGCTGAGCCACAGGCGAGGGCCACATTTTATAATTTGACTTCTCAATAAGTAACTGACATATTTTAATAAGTGCAGATATGTTACTTAACAGCTTTCCTGGTTTAATTTAAATTTAAAATATAAATGAGCAACTTGTTTGAAGACTCTGAAGAAAATCAACTCATCAGTAGCTGCTGAACAGTCTGTGCATTATTTGAGTAGATGTACGAAAAAAACAACAACAAAGCATTAGATTTTTAGACACTTAAATATATACAATGTTACTGTATTTTCTAAAGAGATATTGTTTTCTCAGCAGACAATATAGCATATTATGATATTATATAACAACTCTGTAATAAAAAATAAATTTTACTGAAAATTAGGCACAGGGGAGCCTTAACCTTTCGTTTGGCTGATCACACGTTTCGTCTAAGGAGTGAAAATAGCTGATAGTTGTCGGATTCAGAGCCGTGTGATCTGTTTATTGATGATATGAGGCTTACAGAGAGAAATCTGTGGAGAAGGACATTATTATGATTAGCAGCAGCAGCAGCTAAGAGGATACATGTTTAGGCCTATGCAGGAGCTCCACCTTCTGGGCCTGCTTTAAGCTCAGTGGTGAGAAAAGTTGGAGAGATTTCACAAAGTCTAGCAGAAACAGAAACCGCCTTCAGTAGGCAGAAAGCTTCCAGAGATCATTGATGAGATCAGCGTCACACCGTCAACGATGTTTGCGTCTGTTAGCAGTTGGTGTCAAACTGTGAGCAAAGTGCTGTGCATAAAAGGCACCGAGCAGAAATCTGAAAAGGGCCTGCAGAGTGTTTTAAGCTCTTTGAATATTTCTACTATTTGTTGTTTGTTCATGGGAAAAACAGTCGAAATAATAGCATTTAGCAGTACAATCTGGAAAAATAAGACAATGTTACCCCTATTCTGATTAAACCAGCAGTTTACATCCATATAAACAGATATGTAACCTTTGGTCCTGGCTGTCTCACATTAAGTCAAATAAACGTTTCCCAATTTTATGTCAGTTAGAGTTTAATAAAACTATATCTATTTGTTAAATGCCAGAATTTAATATAATTGCTTTTTAAACTGTACGACTTGGGTCAGACATTTTTGGTTATTCTTCCCTTCCACAAAGTATTAAATATGTAATTATTTCAAAAATATCATTAAGCAGATAAAAATGAACAAGAATATGAAACTTTTAGTCTAATTTAGTAAGAAAGAGTTGTGAGTCTAATGTATGGCTTCATCTGTACGTAGTTCATCTGCATTTTTAAATAACTGAAAAGATAAAAATAAAGGCGAAATCTAACAAATAAACAATTTTCCGTCTTTTTAAGCAACCGTATATTTTAAAATGTGGAATTTGTGAACATTCAAGCTTGCAAAAGAGATAATTTTAACCCAATTTGCTGGTGAGCCCCAGAGAAACGGGTCAGAGTTGCACTAAGCCATTGCTTCTGTCTGATCAGGAGAACCGGGCCTCGCCCTGCCAGCCTTCCTCACCTTCTCGGCGTAGAAGCGGACTTCATCGGCTCTGACCCTCGTGGTTTCTATCCTCTCATGCCGGACCAGTCCAGTCAGGATGTTCCGCAGCATGTTGATCCGGGACTCCGGGCCCAAGCCAATCCTCCTGGCCACCCGGCCGTGGGAGATTAGCATCTGCAGCGTGAGGCGCATCGCGTTCCGTGGGTTCCACCACACTGCAAGCGTCCACGTTAAACAAAAGGTATCTATAAAAAAAATTATAAATTACGCACCTAATAGAGCGAGCGAAGTGCTGCGTCAGTCTGCCTTTTACGAAAAAAAAAAAAAAAACAGAGAGAGGACGTTAACATGAAAAAATATCTCAGTTTGCTACGGTAACTTTACTGTCTTTGACATTGTCTGTGCGTCGGCGAGAGCGTCCGACCCGCTCACGAAACTAGGAAACCACAGTTCCGCTGAACCATACGTAATAAATATAAACCGACGTCGCCTTTTCAAATGAATGAATTAATGAATAATAGAAACAGAGTGCATTTCCACTTATATTACATAATTTATTTTCGTACATCTATTGAATACATTGTGTAACTAAATTAAAGTATTATTTAGTAAAATATAATATTGCACAGTTAGCAGCAGGATAGGAAAAAAACAAACAAATAAAACAAAACAAAAAAAACAAAATAAAAACCAGTTGCTTATTTTCTGTCTCAGCATGAACACTGGGATGAATTTTCTCCATGCATCCTGAACTCCTAGGAAACAGCTCCCGCTTCTGTGATTTACATAACTGCTTATTCCCCAAGCAAGGGTTCTGGAGAACAAAGAAATCCTATGTAAGTGATTAGGATACATTTCAAATAAATGGTGTATTTAAATTTCAAAGGAAAACTCCAAGCCCTGAAAGGACTCTTTGCTTCATTCGACATTCAGCAGGGAAGCATAACATCAACATTTTTCTCAGTTGATATATTTCTAATAATACTATGGAGATGGAATTCACACCAGGTGTCTGTAGCAATCCTACCCGACTCCAATGATAACAAAAAAAAGCAAACAAACATATTTGTCTATTCTAGACGTTTTATTTTGTTCCTCTAAAAGTAAATGTTGTAGTGGTGTGCTGAATTTTCTTTAGACTGCTCAGTCAGAAATCTTTCTCACTATGACTGGCTTGAGATGAAGTGGTCATCTTTCAACTTAAAAATTATCCACTACTTTCTGATGGTCTATCACTTGAAATCATAAACCGGACAGCAATGGTATGTGAAGTTTCATATATAATAAATGACTAGTCACATTTAAAATTAAATGACAAACCATGAATTTAAGCTCACAAACAGCCAAGATGATGACACGTGTTGATATGTTACTCTTTTCTAGAGCTACAAGAACAAAATGGCATTCTTCTATTTCTACAGCCCTGGAGTTCTTGAAGCTTATTCTAGATGTATCATTTGAGCAGAACATTATTCTTGAAAGATAAAGTGGGTGTGCTGCAATTGGGGCAACCTATAAAAATGTCCTTTGAACATTTTGGACTTCTGTTTTTGTCAGCTATGCCAGTGAGAACTTTGTTCTTGAAGTCATAAGAAATGTATCTGTTTGTGTGAGTATGCACAGACCTCAAGGATAGGTCTTTATAAAAGTAAAACGAAACATAAAGAATATCAAAGAGAGTTTATTGTTCATTTTTGTATTATTTTGCAAGAAACTGACTGCTTGATGATGAAAAATGTTGCAAAATTTCCTTATCGATAGCATATTAGAAGAAATGCAGCAGTGTTAGATGGCTGTAGAAGAATCCAGTTTAGTTGTTGGCCATGGTGCTCTGCAGCCAGTCGTTGAAGAGGCAGACCTGTGAAAAAGGACAATAAGACAGATTAAGCCAAGGAGGTTGTATTTTACAAAATAAACCAAACTTCAATTGTAACTTTTCCTAGTATGTTTCTGTATAATTTCAAATACAAAAAAAAAATTGTTTTACCTTGGCATAGACACCAGGGTGGTCTCTCTCAGCACATCCGTATCCCCAGGAAACAATTCCCTGCAGCTCACCGTTGCACACAACGGGGCCACCAGAATCACCCTGACAAAAGAACAGATAAAAATGATCGAAACTTATGAATTGTTTGTCGTAAAATTTATAAGTGATAAACTGCTGGAAAGATATTTCCAAGATTCCTGGAACAGCAGCTGAAGTGTCCTGTTCAAATCTTTGAATATGGATCTAAACTGCTCCTTACCTGGCAGGAGTCCTTGCCTCCCTCCAGGTATCCGGCACAGAACATGGAATCGGTGATCATTCCAGGGTAGGAGTTATCACAATCCCTGTCAGACAGGATGGGGATGTCCAGACACTGCAGCTTGTTACTGTCAGCAGCTGAGTTGTGAAAAATAAAACATCATATTAGTCTCTAATACAAGCTGGAAGAAACCAGATGTTAAAGCACTCTTTAAATCTGAGAATCAGCATCAAATCTTACTCACTGGCGCTCATGGTGTTGCCCCAGCCAGTGACTTTGCACATGGTGCCAGCAGGAGCACAGCTACTGGGCAGAGCCACAGGCTGCACGTACTGGTTGAGGGTGGCGGGTCTGCTGAGCTTGATCAGCAGGACGTCATTGTCGATGGTGTAGCTATTGTAACTGGGGTGACGAATGACAGCAGCGGAGCTGATGAACTGCTCAGTTCCCTCAGTGATGCCGATGTGGTGCTCTCCCAGACGCACTTCAACACGGCTGCACAGAGTTTAACAACAGAGTGTGAGAACAAACACACACAACGGTCTCATGGGACCAGAGTGATGTCGAGCACTTACGACTTGTAGCAGTGAGCAGCAGACACAACCCACAACTCGTTGACCAGGGAGCCACCGCAGAAGTGGTAGCCGGAGTTCAGAGACACCTGATGGGGCTGAGAGTAGGGTGTGCACTCATACCCTCCGACGATCTTGTCGTCCTCCAAGGCAACTAAAGACACAAACAAATGAAATCCAGGGTTAAACTAGACATGTTTAAACTCAGTTCAACAGTTTATCCAAAAGGCAAACTTACAAGCAGCTCCAATGAGCAGAACAAACACCAGAGACCTCATGGTTGCTGAGTGATCTTGTTGATGAGAGAACTTCGTCTGCGGTCCTGGTTTATAAAGGAAGGTGGTTTGAGCTTTTCTTATGAGGAAACCTCCCACTGTTATCTGTGACCAACCAGCTTCCAGAACAAACCCACTGACTGTTGGAAAAACAAACATCTTTTCTAAAGAGCCTTCACATATGCAGCTGAAGATGGAGATCAATACATGATTTAAAGATAAGCAAGAAAAAAAGGAGAAGATTCTTTAAAACATTCCACAGATCTATAAGCATTTGTTTTTATAAGATGTAGGACTATTTAGGAGTTTTTTCTTAGCGCAGACTTCTATTTGTCATAAAAATCAACCTGGAAAACAGTTGTATATTTAATTAAATATTTATTTTTAAAAAATCCATTTCAGATACAATTTTACAATATTATTATATTATGAACAAGTATTATTATTTTTTTATTTAACTCACTCTTATGCCAGGTTAATTCTGGTAACACTACTGACAATGATTGACAGCATTACCTTGAACACTAATGGTATCATGTGAATTTGCCATCTGTGTCAATCAGATCAGGTTAAATATTGTTAAATGTCCAGCAAAATGTTCTGAAAGGAGACATTCATATCAGGCAGCTGATAGTAACTATTAATATGACTTTTTCCCTCTGACTGGCAAGAACTGGAACAATTGGTTCTTTTGAGACAGGAGGAGCATGTTTACTGCTGAAAAAGGCAGATGATGTTAAGTTCTGGAGGGAGGATGCTTCAGTAGTTTAGAGTCTAATAGTTAATAACAAATGATTTCTGTTTGGTTACCACATTTACAACCATGGTGTTTGGACTGCTGGAATGAGATCTGTGTTAACCGTTTTGCAAAAGAGTAAGGACAATGTGTCTAACCAATGACACATTGGTTGGACACCAACATCCAATGATTAACACGTTTACAAGAGGTTTTTTTCTGCTCTACTGAAATAGCGACGATGAAAACTGAGTGGATCCCAGCTCCTTTTAGCAGGCCAAAGCAATAAAGAAAAAACATAACCTGCCAAAGTGTGTCACTTGTTTAGAATAGACAGTTCATTCCTCAAAAACATGTGTTCATATAAACGTGTCAGTGGCGTCTAAATAAAAAGTCTTTACACCATGTTTGTGTCTAAGATAGGCAAATAGTTCCAATAGTTCACCAGATAGACCTTTGTGACTTTACCTGAACGTATGATACACTAATTTCACAGCAACTTGAAGTGAGGTAAGGTAATATAAGACACTGAACACAATGCTTTGTATTTTTACTGTATTTGCTCTCTGAGTACAACCTTATTTTTTGGGTAAAACTGTTGTGCACAACTTTAAACAACAGCACCAGTGAAAGCTGTAGTTTACGTGAGAAAAATCATTCAATCTGGGAGACAACATCTTGAAAGAATAAATAGGAAATGCATAAAAATGTCCGATTTTTAGAATTGATTCAACAGTTTTATATCCCAATTAGTAAAAAGGATTTACATCTGAAGGGATTGAAATGAATCGCCGAATTTGTAATTATCATCCTCCTTAACTTGCATGTGGTGACAGTAGTAAGAAAACCTCCCTTAATATGGAAGAAACCACTAACAAGACTTGGCTCATTGTGAGCAGCTATCTGCCACTGACTTACAGGGGGTTTAAGAAGACAGAGCAGATGGTGGTCAGAGGGCCCGGTGCACAGCAGCTGTGGCTACTATTCAGTGGGTTGCCACTTTCAGTGTGTAAATGGGTGAATGACTGAATGTAGTGTGAAGTGCTTTGGGATCCTCTGGACTTAATAAAGCGCTAAACAAGTACAAGCCGTTTATCCATTTTGCCATACATTAAAAAAAAAAAAAAAAAAAAACAGAAGCTCTGGCCCAGAACAGCTTTCAGTGATAAAGAAGTAAGGAGGCAATACATCGTTAGTGGCTTCATTTGGGTGTGAAACTCAGCTAAATAGATGAACACTAAGGCAGTAGTAAAATCTATTGCCCAAAAAACAGAGTGCATCTAGTTAGTGACAGTAATAGCTCTTTCAATTGTTCTGTCTAGGAAGGACACTGGGTTAAACACAGAAAGGCACAGTCAAGTTTATTATCCATAAAAAGAAAACATAAAGCTATTGGCAGCAGTAGCGCTACTGATGATCCATCATCACAGGTTAAACAAAAATACTGGACCAAATAGAATAAAACTGAGAGAAAACCCAAAGGTAAATCCAGGAAATTTTGGAGATAGCAGACAAGACATTAATGGATATTGGTAGGAGAAAAAAGCAAAGAGAGAAATGACTGTCAGCAAATCCTCCAACAACCGAAGGTTACATTAGCATAAGAACAGAGAAAGCTCAGACTCTCCTAAGTCTTTAACAATAAGCTTTATCGAAAACAAAACATTTAAAAGCCACATCTTACAGGCAAGGTGTCTGCCTCACAGACAAAAAGTAGGAGCTGATTGTGAAAACTAAAAGATCCACCTCCCATTCTCCTTTTGGAAATGTTAAGAGTCATAACTAAAACAAATATTATATAAACACTGAGCAAATCAGCCTATCAACCAGAGGTATTACTGATCCCATGGCTCAGTACAGCTATGGCTGTTTTTTTCTGGTTACCTTGTAATAAAGTTATTATATAGTAATTATTGTTCTCCCATGGCAATAATAAGAAATGTACTGATTTTTAATATGATTTCTTGCAGAACCAGTGGAACATTTTCAGCGTTATGACATTTGTTATGTCAAGAGAATCTGAAAGCTGTGCATGAAGTGTGGGAACAACATGTAGGAAAATAAAGGAACAAGATGACATGAAACCAAAAAGATATTAGGTTCTATGATTTATTTAATGGTGTCAAAGTGTCTGCATGGTGTTCAGGATGATGGTAGACAAACGGCAGCACTAGAAGAATCCAGTTTAGTTGTTGGCCATGGTGCTCTGCAGCCAGTCGTTGAAGAGGCAGACCTGTGAAAAAGGATAATAAGACAGATTAGGACAAGGAGGTTGTATTTTACAAAATAAACCAAACTTCAATTGTAACTTTTCCTAGTATGTTTCTGTATAATTTCAAATACAAAAAAAAAATTGTTTTACCTTGGCATAGACACCAGGGTGGTCTCTCTCAGCACATCCGTA